ATTAAAATCCATTTGATAAAACATCTAAATTATTGGGAGCACTTAAAAATTTTAAATCTGTATTACCTAGATTGCAGGTGGGAGAGATCCACAATAATTTACACTTGGGAATTTACTAGAAGAACTGGTTCAAAGTTCTGCACAAAGAAATAATACTACACGAGTCCAGAAAGCATGACAATGTGCAAAATAGCTCCATTGATAAGCATTGGTGCAATAGGCATGCTGAGAGAGAATTCAATCAACATCAAAGGCCTAAGACTTTTCAACACACTCCCGCTACACATAAGTGACATAACTGGCCGCCTTCTCAGTGTTCATGAGAGAACTTGATAAACACCTTCAAAATGATACTTCATCAACCAGGCTGTGACTCACGTCACAGCCTGGTTGCAAGCAGCCACATTACGTCAGGCTGCAAGCAGCCACATTAAACAGCCTGGTTGACCAGACCACCAACCAAGAGGTCTGGTTAGAGATTATGCCACAGGGTCACTGATCATCAGAATCATTGATGGGTATACCCTACCTTTTTTATGCAAAAATGTTCCCATTATACAAGCCCTCCTCAGTAAGAAAATCAGGAGGAGCCATGAGGAGGATTTGAACCCGCACACTTGGTACTGTAGAATGATACAGGGGTACACACTTAAAACAGTACATTACACTGTAGATAATAAACTACATGATCAAACATTAATATCACAGTGACCTAAGGACCAGTATCCAGTCAACCAGGCTAAGTACTGTACCGTATCCCTAAATCAGTTGAAAATCCACCAATGCATGCCAAGAGACCACGCTATATTGCACATTAACACAAAAGTGGTTAGAAATGAACACGGCACAAAACACTAGAGTGACTGGTGCTGGTGACCTGCCAGTGCCTACCCATTGTACAGGTTGGACCTGTATGTACGAGGAATGTTAATAATGGTGCTCAATAGTGGTAAATAAAATAGGTGGTTATAATATAGATAACAAATGAATTAAAAATGTTCTGCCTATGCTCATTAATTTGAATTACATGGAACCCACTCCCATTTGAGTTAGCCAAACATTCAAGTTAGTAAATTTTTTACCCAGAATACCTGTACTGTATCTAAAATTTATAAATTTAAATTTATTTGGATTTCTTATTTGACAGAAATCACTAACCCAAAATTTCTATCCAAGTTAAAGTCAAGCACTAACAATGAATTTATTAGTTTCACAAACATGAATTAACTTGGATTTTTCCAAAGTCGGGTTATAGGAATCCAAATTACCAAGCTCCGACAGTAATTAACAGGTATTGCAATCCCATTTTCAATAAAGCTATTTTGTGCCTTTGCCAAGCATACTGGTCTCATAAGGAATAATTTTATAGTGCATAGATTTGGAACTAGTCCCTCTTAATATTTTCCAGATGTAGATCATCTTTTTCTCTCTCTCTCTCTCTCCCCCCCCCCCCCCCTGCACTCTAAGAGCATAATTTGAAAGATTTTAAGCAGTCCCAATAAATTAAATATTTTATTAAAGGTATTTGGGTAATAAAGGTGCTTGCAATTCTCCAGTTTTGAATGGGGTAGTTGATGTGTAATGAATTAGTACGGAGTGTCTTAACAGTGACTGAACACTTGGCCTGTCATAAATCCAGATGCCAACATATTTCGGTTACTGTGTTGCAATATCTCAATAGGTATTGTACCCACATAATAAACTGTGATATAACTTTAAAGATAAGCAACTCATTGTTATACATATCATGTTTTTTGTATTCTTATATTATTTGAATACAAAATATTTAAATAGCTGGATATTGGCAACTTTTCCCAACCTTTTTTTTTCTCAATCTGGTTTAACCTGACTAGCTTACTCTTGATATTAGATAATAAACCATTTTTCTACTAACAAAACAAAGGACAATTTCTTAAAATCTTTAGTGGGTGAGAGATCATACAAAATCATAAAGTGCATTGTACAATATAAAAAAGATAGCATTTTTACTAAAAACTTCTTTCTGTAAAATTCACTTGGTTGTTCCCTAGGCCTAAAATAAGAATGGCTGTGGAATTTGGCCACGATTGGCAAGTCAGACAATATGACATTCTGACAAGTGCCAATAGGAATGCTTCAAATGGTCCTTAAATGGTCATACAGCACAAGAAATAAACTATCCAGTTTAATACGGCCTTCAGAAATGTCAAAATACATATCCAGTTTAATACGGCCTTCAGAAATGTCAAAATACATCTCGACACTTTACCATGCCCTTCCTGGCATCACTAGTGACCAATGGTGGTACTCACAGCAATGATTCTATGGGCCAGAAACAAACTGCCACCAGAGGGCAGCACCTTGCTCACAATAGGACCACCAACATACATACTTCCCGATTCCCTTCAATCAATCAACAACAACATACTTCCCAATTCTCAAAACAATCCTACACTTGGGAAGCATGGCAACAAGGGAGGAAACAGGAGCAACCTAGCTTGTGCATTCTATATGATTTTCAGATTTAATGAAAAAAAAAAAAAATATCAAGTACATTTCTGCTTACAGCAAGGTACCAAAATATTGACCCATGGGAAAATCAGTCTTGATACAATTACAATTTTTTTAGGATTTTCCATTTCATTTCTCATCGCATCTTCAGAAAGGCATACTGTATCTTCATTAGAGAATGTTCAACACCGGACAACAAAAATAATTCCAGAACCAAGTCAACTGTCTAACCAGGACAGGTCGAGGGCCACAGGGATAAGAACACTGCAAACCCGACATATAGAGCTGATCTCATCGAAACGTTCAAAATACTGAACAATTTGAAGGATGTTGATCTGGACAACTACTACAAAAGGTCAGATGTAATGCAAACAGGGAGTAACGGTTTCAAGCTCAACAAGCGAGTGTAGCACTGAACACAGGAGATGCTTTTTCACCCACTGGGTTATAAACCCATGGAACTACATGTGCGTATTCAATGAAGCCATAACTGCCAAAATTCTGCTGAACTTTAAAATCCAGCTTGAAAAAAATCAGGACAAATGGGGGGGGGGACCTTTGAAAAACCACCAACTTCCTGTCCTCATCGAGGCCACTAGTGTTAGTGGACCTTAAGTAAATTCCAGTAAATTTCATTGCATTGGTTACTCAATTCTGATTAGGCCTGTTATTTTTCCTGTTATACTGTATCTAAACAGTACAGTGCCATCTAGGACATCAAAGCATGAACACAAAAATCGGGGCCTAATAGCCGAGTGGACAGTGCTCTGAACTTGTAATTCTAAGGTCCGGGTGCTCTGAACTTGTAATCCTAAGGTCTGGGTTTGATTCCCAGTGATGGCAGGAACAAAATGGGTAGAGTTTCTTTCACCCTGATGCCCTTGTTACCTAGCAGTAAATAGGTACCTGGTTGTTGGACAGCGGTTACGGGCTGCTTTCTGGGGGGGTGTGTGTGTATGGAAAAAAAAATTAGTAGTAAAAGTTAATTGATTGACAGTTGAGAGGCGGGCCGAAAGAGCAGAGCTCAACCCCCGCAAGCACAACTAGATTAATACAACTAGATGAACACACACAGTAAAGCACCTAAATTGCTGGGACCATCTCAAAGTACTCAAAATGTACTCTGGAAAGGAGATGAAATCACATTACATATACAGTATAGTACATGGAATATACAGTACTAGAAGGCCAAGTCCCAAATATGCATAACAAAATAACAACATACTGTACTGAAGGATAACATATTAATTACTGGAGTAGGAAATGCAAATCAGACTAAGTGAAATATAGAGGTGCCACTGGCACAGAGCATTGTATAAATTGTATAAACACCAGACGTCCACAGTTCTTCAGCCTCTTCCCATCAAATAAAAGGAATACAGTATTGCTACGGTAGAACACAAGTAGTCATTTTAAGAGAAAATTGGGCAAGTTCATGCAGGAAGTGCCAGATCAGCCGGGTTATGGATATGTGGGGCTGCAAGCCTCTCCAAGGAATAGCCTTTCAAATCAATATTACAAGACGAGCATGGCCCCAGGATGGGCTATGGAAGTAGAAGAACTAAAATTTACTACAGGTAAACTGCAGTACAGTACAGTTTACTGTACCTAAATGGCAGAGTACCATGTAAGCCTGTACAATATTTAACAGTCCCAAACCACATATTGGGCATGTCTTTTGATGTTGCTGTATAGTTTGCTTTCCAATCATGAACTGAATAGTAATTAAAATTTTTGTTGGCATGGCATATGACGCTGAATAGTGTCATGCCACATTCCCAAATTAACCCTAACCCAACTTATCTAGAAGAGCATGGCAAACTGTAGGAGGCAAGTTGAGAATGGAGCAACTCAAAAAAAAAAAAAAAAAAAAAAATTATTTGCTCAAAGAAATAAGAAATACTGTAATTTGCATTATAGTTAAACAAATTATTAGTGTAAAATTCTCTAATATTTCCATTCAAAAACAAAAGTCAGCAGTAAAGCTGCTGCACCTATTGCTTTCACTGTTTGCTGGATAATGTTCATTGATTTAATACTGTACTGCTTCCAGATGAGTGAAAGCCATTACAGAAGTTAACACATTTATTTATGGTACATTTTTGTATAACCAAATAACCTCAGGCTTCTTGTCCTTGCCGAGACCACTGAAAATGGTGGCATTCAGTTCCTCATTGTGATGTTTTAATATTTGTTAGAGAAACATTTTCTCTGCCTGATAACACTACTGTATAACCTTTTTAAATTAGCTTCACGATTGTAACTTGTGAGAATAAAAGCAGGGGCAATGTAGAGTTCAGTTATTGTATATAAATCACACAAGTATGAAGAAAGCACGTTTTACTTGAATGCCACCATTTTCAGTGGTCTCGGCAAGGACCTGTCCTTGCCGAGACCACTGTGCTAAATTTCAGAGAGGAAATTCACCAATAAACTTGCGTTTCAAAACCAATTTTATCTAGAATAATTTGTCACAAAATAAATCACCACCGTACGTTTCTTATTCTTACCTGACCTCCGTGGCCATCGAACACTCCAAAGAAGGACATTTTCTTCTCCCCAACGTCCACATCTTGCATTATACTGAACCGATCTTCCATGTTCCCCCGGCGGCCCTGCATACCATACAGTCCCACAATTCCGTCTTTAAATTCCCAGCCAACATTATCACTTCCGAGAGCCCCGGACACCAGGTCAAGGCTGCTGATGGTCTTGAAGGTGGTGCTGGTGACGGAGTTGAGACCCAGGACGTAATGGGCCTTGACCATCCACTGTCGCATCAAGTGACTGCTGCTCTGCAGGATCACACTAGCCACTATCACCAGGAACATGAGGAACATGAAGGGCCCAGGCTGGAAAATCTTTGTTTTGAAGCTCTCTCCTGGGCCCGGGACGAGGAACTCCACCAGCCTGGAGGTGGTGAGCCTAAGGTAACGGAGGGTGATGTGGGCGTGGGCGGTGAAGAGCTCGCACACGATCTCGTCTTCCATATCGTCGTCCATGGTGGTGGTGGAGGTGACGAGGAGCAGAGGCTCTCGGTCGAACAACTCTCAGGGACCAACTGAGACCAAAATAACCCGAGGTGGGGGGGAGGTAAACCTGCGTCTGCAAGCCGCCGCTCGCTTGTCCGTTCTCCAAATTTAACTGCCGGGTGATATTAAGTCATGGCGAGGCAGCAGCAGCAAGAGCGTGGTGACGTACGCGCCCGGCCGGGGCTAGTCTCCTGTTCACTGAGGACGGCGGTGCTGCTACACGGGAAGAAATGCGAGAGTTGGTGCGGCCATCACCACCCTGGCGGAGACACTCTGACGTCACGTGTTTACAGGCCAGGGCTCGCAGGGGGAACTCCTCAATCCCAGGAAACGGCTCCTCCCCTTAATTAACAATCATCATTCCCCTCAAGGCCTTAACCCTCCTCGCGTTAACCTCTCCCCCACCCCCTCTCCTAGCCCTTACCCTTCCTTGGCCGTTCACCCCTTAACTTCCCTGGCCATTCACCCCCCAAATCTTACTCTTCCCAGGCCGTTCATCCCCCAGCCCTTACCCTTCCCAGGCCGTTCATCCCCCAGCCCTTAACCTTCCCAGGCCGTTCACCCCCCAGCCCTTACCCTTCCCAGGCCGTTCATCCCCCAGGCCTTACCCTTCCCAGGCCGTTCATCCCCCAGCCCCTTAACATTCCCTGGCCGTTCGCCCCTCCTTACCCTTCCCTGGCCCTTCACCCCCCCAACCCTTACCCATCCCAGACCGTTCACTCGCCAGCACTTACCCTTTCCCCTGGCCCGTTCACACCTTAGCCCTTACCCTTCCAAGGCCGTTCACCTCCCCCTCCCAGCCCTTACCCTTCCGTGGTCCGTTCACACCCCAGCCCTTACCCTTCCCTGGCCGTTCCCCACCCAGCCCTTACCCTTCCCTGGCCGTTCACCACCCAGCCCTTACCCTTCCCTGACCGTTCACCACCCAGCCCTTACCCTTCCCTGACCGTTCACCACCCAGCCCTTACCCTTCCCCGGCCGTTCACCACCCAGCCCTTACCTCCCCCCTCTGGCCGTTCACACCCCCCCCCCTACCAGCCCTTACCCTTCCCTGGCCGTTCACACCAGCATTCCTACAGCTCACTGCAGTTTTTTTATTTTTTTATTTTTTCATACAAGAGTTCTTACATCTTTTTGTAAAGCCACTAGCACGCATAGCGTTTCCGGCAAGTCCTTAATCCTAATTTTCCCCGGAATACGACGCGCCAAATCGTTTAACAACCATTCAACCCGTCCTCGACTCAAGTCCATTACATCCAACGGTCGACCCCACAGACGCATTCATAAACTTTTACATGCTGTTCAGTGAAAACGGGAATTTTCTCAAATATAAATTACTATTATAATATATTAGCATATTGTGCATATATAGGCATAGGTTAGGTTAGGTTAGGTGTTTAGGTTCGGTTGGCGATTATTTGTATTTGTAGTACGTGGGTGAAGCATTTATAGCGATGTGGTTCGAACAAAACTCGTCAGTGAAGCACTTGTTCCGGAAGTGTTCGAACGAAATCAGTTGTGAGTCGTGTGTAAACCGTTTTTCATTCATAAACAGGGGGTTTGACGGGTGGATGGAATCACTTTTGGATCTTTGTTTGGAGGACGGGCTGCAATTCTCCCCGGCCAGGATACGAACCTAGGCCAAAGCGTTCGCGCCAGGCGAGTGCTTTACCACTGTGCCACGGGAATTGTGCCACATGGGAGAGCTCATACGCTTCCCGTTCACCCCAACCGCAATACAAGTCAGCTAATAAAAGTTAGTAGCTTTGCAATAATGTAAAAATTCCAATATTATGTAATCTCACAAACCATTGTACCTTGTAAATAAATTTAAATATTATTATTATTATTATTATTATTATTATTTTTATTATTATTATTATTATTTAGTACAGAAGACGGATCGCGCACATATTTTTACAATATCGCACACAAAATTTTAAGTTCCGTATGTAAATTATTAGTCACTTATAACACAAAATAATGCTGTTAACAGCTAAAATCTTGTATTTAGCAGGCATAGCCTTTACCATACCCCGGCCGTTCATCTCATCTTTGAGATCCCCAGAGTCAGACTAAATCTGTGCAAACACTGCATACAAATAAAAGAACCCAGTCTTTGGAACTCACGTTGGGTTGCAACCCGTTCTCGCACTTTCGTATAGTCAATATTGACTTATTAAATACGTGCATATGTGACATACTAAACATACTAGTTTACCTTGAAAAGCTTCATAGAAAACACCGACCTTACCTAACCTTCTTAGTATGTTAAGATAAGCATCTTATTGCTTCGTAATTACAATTATTACTTAACCTGTTATAGGTATAAATTAAGTAATAATTGTAATTACGAAGCAATAAGATGCTTATCTTAACATATTAAGGTTAGGTAAGGTCGGTGTTTTCTATGAAGCTTTTCAAGGTAAACTAGTATGTTTAGTATGTCACATATGCACGTATTTAATAAGTCAATATTGACTGTAATAAAGTGCGAGAACGTGTTGCACTCCACGATGAATTAAAAAAGTGTCCAACCCATGCCCTGTTCAAAAGTATACAAGAGTTTATACTGTACTTTAAATTAGGTACTTTATGCAAAAAGTACCTAATTTCATCATGGTTTCCTACCCTGTGCTTCAAACTCACACTGTATCTTGTACTACCCACTTCTCAAGAAGATAACCTCCCCCAATATTAGTACTTGAGACATATATCCTTATCAGTGTAATCACCTCTGTCAACTTATAATGTAGTTATTTGTTGATATAAAACTATGCTACAATGTACCTTTTCACCTTACCTGATGTGTTAGATGTGTTAGATCTGCCCGAAACGCTATGCATGTTGGTTGCTATGCATAAAAGTAAGAATACCAATCTTATGTAATCTCACCAATCCATTGTACCTACTTGCAAATAAATTATTATTATTATTATTATTGTTCACTTAAAAATATTTGCAAATGTGTAATTTTTAAACTTTAACACCACATGACGATTCTGCAACTTTTGGATCCCAATAGAAGAGACGTGCAGTACGTGCAGTATCAACAAACGTTGACATAATGCAGGGTATATTGTCCGCCGGCTGCGAAAACTCGAAACCGGCAGACGCAGCCTACTCCACTGTAGCAGCAAGGAAGCCCACAACTCCTCCCGATGTAACACCGTAAACGTGTTTGGTTTAGATTTATTTATTACATACATAGAGATACATGAGTCAGAGACAAGGATTTGTGAGGCGCCAGTTTGTCGGCCTGAGACTCACACCTCGAAGCGTTAATGACCCTCCTAGCTTCTCCCACCTCTCTCACCCCAGACCCTCACTAATTACTTCATTATTCATTTCTTCCCTTTTGTTTCTCTTATACGTTTGTGGCAGTGAAATGTATTCTAGAGTTCTCTAGGGTTTCGGGTAGCTGATCAAGTTACAAGGGAGCCGGTCGGCCGAGCGGACAGCACACTGGTCTTGTGATCCTGTGGTCCTGGGTTCGATCCCAGGCGCCGGCGAGAAACAATGGGCAGAGTTTTTTCACCCTATGCCCCTGTTACCTAGCAGTAAAATAGGTACCTGGGTGTTAGTCAGCTGTCACGGGCTGCTTCCTGGGGGTGGAGGCCTGGTCGAGGACCGGGCCGCGGGGACACAAAGCCCCGAAATCATCTAAAGATAACGGCGCCTTGTAGTACCCGTACCTAGGTAGTCATATACCTAGGTTACAAGGTGTTGAACGAGAGAGGCAGCCGTAGGAACTCTGGGAGTGCTCTAGAATAGTTAGCTAACTGAGGACGGGATAACGGACTAGAGAGAGCTGTTTCCCCCGGCCTCGTTAGTTAACTGGGGGGTGGAATAATGGACAAGAGAGAGCTATTTCCCCCCCCACCCCCCGTTACACCGACACCAGCAGGGCACAACAACAACCGGACAACACCAAGTCGCCAATCCACCCTTGCGACAACTCCCATCAGGAGCACCTCGTCCACTCCCGGTGGCGGCGTTGGCAGTTTTAATATCATTAGGGAGGTCATTCCACAGTTTAGGACCCTTGATTTCCAGAGCGTTTCTACTTTACTGACATTTACTTACATAGGTCGCACTCTTGGAGTATCTAAATGATACTTAGTTTCTCGTGTGATGGTCGTGGGTTCTTTTACAGCCCTCTTTGAAGCGCTTAAGATCAGGATTAGCATATTACAGTGCAGAATTGTATACATGTAGAGCACACTTGATCCTGACATATTCAAATATCTTTTTTTGTTGTAATTGCTAATTTATGTTGAGCAATTAGTGATCGAAGAAAATTTTAGGTTGTACATCCACAGGCACAGATACCGTAGGTAAAATCTGGATAGAGAAGAGAATAATAAAGTTACCATGCAGGGTGAAGCATGTAGTATCTGATCATGGAAATTATGCCTACTGATTTAGAAACCTTTTTTTAGTTATATTTTGTATATGGTAATGGAAGTTCAGCGTGTTGTCAATGTGAACACCAAGGAATTTAACCATCTACGTTGAACATTATTTGAGAATTGTTAATTCGAAGCTAAATTTGATCAATGGACTTGTTACCAAACGATATGTAAAATGTTTTGTTAGTGTTAAAGGAAAGTTTGTTAGCAGTCAGCCACTGATGGACTTTTTTTTTAATTCGGTATTCAATGTGTCATTTGCAATAGGTGGGTTAGCATTAGCGAAAATAAGAGTTGCGTCATCTACAATTAGGATAGGCTTCAAGTGTTGAGTGGCATAGTGTGCAGTTGGTTATTGAGTAGTCGACCACAGAACTTGATTGATGAGCGTATACGCGAAGGCCACCATCTCTCTAGTCACCATAGTGGCCTTAGCGAGAACAGGAAGCCGGCGGCTTGTCAAAGGTCCCACCATTTGTCCTGATGATTTTATCAATTTTGAAATTCATCAGTGTTTTGACAGTCAAAGGTTCGCCTGACAATGCCTAAGGTTTGATTTTTTTTACTGCACCCCCACTGGTGCAACTTTCAGTTGATATAATGACCCTAGCAGTTGATATAATGACCCTAGCATTTACCATAATAACCCTATCAGTTGATATATAATGATCTTATATATTGTCTGCCCGAAACGCTGCGCGTACTAGTGGCTTTACAAGATTGTAAATACTATGCTATGTATTCTCACAAACCCAATGTACCTTCTTGTATATAAATAAATAAATAAATAAATAAATAAATAAATAAATCTTTGCAGTTAAAATAGACCTCAAACCATAACACGTGCTTTCACATCATGTGTTTTGAGAATACCGCAGTCCTAG